CACCCAATGCTTCCGTGTGCAAAGCATCATGGGAAATGAAGTTTCTTGGCGCTGATGTGATTATTTGCTTTTCAGAGCAATTTAAGCACAGTCATCTTGGAGAAAATCACTGCATAGTAATTTCCTCATGAGGTCAGACCCTCAACATATATGTATATATATATATATATATATATATATATATATATATATATATATATATATATATATATATATATGATCTTTATTACTAGGATTTTTATCAAAAATTAAGAAATTTTTTCTAATAGCTCCTAGGTAAATTAGTCAAAATACCAAAAAACCATTTCTCAATGTTTTTACTAGGCTAGGTCAATGAGACACAGCAGTTTTTAACACCTTTAATACGGCCTGATATATTTTAATTAGGATTTGAATCAAAAATTAAGGAATTTTTTTCAATAGCTGCTAAGTAAATGAGTCATAATATCCTAAACCAGGGATTCCCAAAGTGTGGTGCGCGCACCCCTGGGGGTGCGCGAGCTGCCGCTAGGGGGTGCGCGACGTGAAAAGTGTAATGGCTGCGGAGCTCAGAGAAGTCTGTCATATGTCACCATTAGCGTAGCCAGAAACTCATTTGTGGGTGGGCCTAAGAAAAAGTAAGTGGGCCCAATAAATGTAACTGAAAACAAGTATATTTTTGTGCGCGTGTCCTCCACATGTGCCCTAGCTTCATAATAACAATGCGCCGAGCTTCAGCGCTCTGGCCTGCGCACGCCGATATGTTCCGTATTTGATCATTTTAACGGTGTTGGAGGAATCTGAAGGTGGCGAGTCACTCTGGCAGATTGTAATTAACACCTGTCTCATGCAGGTGTTCTGACATTGTAAACCTCACACACAGAACATTGTGGATGTAACTAAATAACAAGAAATGATTCCCAGTCAGGCTATTAACAGCACGCTGAAGATCTGAAGTTCAGAGTGCGTCTGTCAGAGGTCAGACGCGTTCCAGCAGAACCACGGCTCACGGGTGCACAAGTGAGCACATCTGGGCTGGGCAGAAGTTTAAATAGCGCCAATAACGAGACGCGGTGACTTGAGCGGCTGTGCCGCGCGCGCACACACACACACACACACACACACTCACACAGATTCAATAAGCGCACACGCTGCTTTAACTCCGGTGCCGTCAGACTGAAGGCAGAAATGAACGCTTCCTCCAATGTGATAAAAACTTTTAAGAGGTTATTTTTCATTCAAGGTCAAATTAAGATATTAGCTTCTGGGATGAGTCGGGTCCGCTCCAGCCAGTGACTCCTCATGAACCTGACCACATCACATGTTACTGCAGCATTTGTTATTCCAGTCAGCGTGGCAGCGGATCGCAGATTCAGCCACACCATAAAACAGCAATAAGTCGGTCTGAGGTAAAAGTGAACATCATGGCTATATCTTGTCCCCTATAGACATTTGATTACGCACAAGTAGGTGATCAGCTCAGGTTTACGCAGAGCAGAAGGAAGGAGAGCGCTCTGGCCGCACAGGTTAAACGTTCCTACTTTAAGAACACCGTTAAATAGCATTGTTTATGTGCTACCTGGGCACTCTAAATATTTATTTAATATTAAATCAAAGGAATTTGTAATGTATCGAATGTTTATTAATTACTATTTAAAAAATGAAAGTGATGGGGATTTTTTTTTAACCCTGTCTGTTTAGCTTGACATCTGATATATATAGAGCCATGCCCCGATGTGTGTGTGTGTGTGTGTGTGTGGGGGGGGGGGGGGGGGGGGTGCGTCGACATGGTCGGGACATAGAAGGGGGTGCGCGGCTAAATAAGTTTGGGAACCACTGTCCTAAACCATTTCTCAATGATGTTACTAAGCCAGACCGATGAGACACAGCAGTTTTTATCACATTTCACAAGATCTGATCATTTTTATTAGGATTTTTATCAATAATTAAGTGATTTCTTTCAATAGCTCCTATGTTAATTGATTTTAATACTCAAAACCATTTCTCAATGATGCCACTAGTGGAGACTAATGAGACACAGCAGTTTTCATAACATTTCACAAGATCCAACTTTTTTTTTTTTTTTAGGAATTTTGTCAAAGGATGAAAAGCTAAGGCTGATCCCCCTTCACCTTATGTAATATGAAGGCTGTAAATGTCTTCGTCGGCATCTTGGGTGAGGTTATGCACTCTGGGCAGGGACATCTTAAACATCCATCTTCAGGCAAATTGTTGTCTCTCGCTCCCAACAGTTGAGTCATAAGATAAGTTGGGCCCTCGCTTCTGGAGGCCATAAAGGAAATACTCGATCGTCATTTCAGCTAGAAAGAAAGACAAATGAAAACCATGGACCTCGCCCTTGAACACTAAGACCACCAGAGGCTGGATGCTGATCAAGAACTGCAAGGACCCCAAACTCACCTCGCCCAATGTGCTGACCAGAGCCTTGGTGGCTGTGATGTTTGTCTTTCTGAAATACTAAAACATAAACCCCATCATGGCACATGATTAGAGAGAATTTGGCCTTGTCCCTTACTGATGAAAAGGTTCAACTGAAACATGAGGCCAACTTAAATGAAATGGATTGTGTACCAGTGCGATTGACTACAACTTGATATCAAGCCAGGTGGTGACGAGGGACGTTCTGACTGAGAAAGGTTACCATCGACGAGATCCCCACTCCAAGACAGGAGGAAGAAGAGCATACCACCTAAGAATTTGTGGGAGGAGAGGTTTGATTGAGGTCACAGATTTTAATTGCAATGGCCTGAAGCTGTGTTGCTGAGCATTGAAAAATGGTTTTGAGTATTTACAGCAATTAGCTTAAGAGCTATTGAAATAAATCACTTATTTTTTTAATAAAAATTCTAATAAAAAGGATCAGAGTTTGTGAAATGTGAAAATAACTGCTGTGTGTCTTTGGTCTGGCTTAGTAACGACATTGAGAAATGGTTTCGAGTTTTTTTGACTGATTTACCTAGGAGCTATTGAAAAAGATTCCTTAATTTTTGATAAAAATCCTAATAAAAAAGATCAGATCGCATGAAAGGTGTTAAAAACTGCTGTGTCTCATTGATCTAGCTTACTAACACAATAGAGAAATGGTTTTGTGTATTTAGACTGATTTACCTAGGAGCTATTGAAAAAAATCCCGTAATTTTGGATAAAATTCCTAAAAAAAAAAAAAGATGAGATTGTTTGAAAGTTGTTAAAAATTGCTGTGTCTCATTGGTCTAGCTTAGTAACACAATTGAGAAATGGTTTTGAGCAGTAAAATCAATTAACCTAAGAGGTATTGAAAGAAATCACAGAATTTTTCATGAAAATCTTAATAAAAAAGATCAGATTGTATGAAAGGTGTTAAAAACTGCTGTGTCTCATTGGTGTGGCTTAGTAACACAATGGTCTTGTGTATTTAGACTGATTTACCTAGGAGCTATTGAAAAAAATCCCTTAATTTTGGAATAAAATCCTAATAAAAAAGATCAGATTGTATGTATAAATGTGTTATAAACTCTTGTGTCTTGTAAATGTTGTTTAGTAACACAAATCAGAAGTAATTTTGAGTCATTTAGAAAATTATTGTGGAAGCTTTTAAATTTTTTTTGTACTCGTTTACAAAGAACTACAAATTTCTTGATAGTCCCTAAGCGAACCACCGTTCCCTATAGCGAGTCCTCAGAATTCAGCAAACCGCTGTCTGTGCCGTAGTGCACGGCATGAAGACTTATCGCTGACCGTGTAAACCAATGCCCGTAGAATATCCAAAGTCCAAGTTCAAATTAACTTCACCGCGGTGAAAAGAAAAATGTAGGTAGATTTATTTCCACTACACGTTTTTACCAGCATAAAACAATAAGTTATACACATGTAATATTTATTCATCTGATACAGTTCAGATCACCTTCAAAACTCAATCACACACCCAGGGCTGTTTCAAGGCATTTGGGGGGCCAAGGCAAAACAGACCTGTAAAATCTTTCTTGGTTCAGAAGATTAGAAAACACACAGAAGTAGATTTATTCCTGTGGATTAAAGGCTCATCATGTAGGTCAGAATATAGATGAAAATTGACCCTTTCTGGACGTTACACCACTGGACAAACCTGAGAAACTTAAACTTCTATTCGGTATCATCCATAAAGTTCCCAAACAGAAACCTCACATTGCTGTGACCCTTGAGGGGCCGCTAACCTTTTGATGCAATCTTAGACACTGGGTCAGACATTTCTATCATGTCTCGTTCATGTTGGGTAAACCTCTGCTTGACTGCGGCTGATCACATTCTTCTTGTGGTGTTGTGGACAACAACAGCGATACCCATGTGGCTAGTTGTTATGGTGTTTTGCTGGTCAGTCACATCCACTGGCCTAGTGTATGTGTCATCTTGTTTCTCCCTGAGACACCTCGCCCTGTGGCGTGCTCTAAAGTTACTAAAGGGAGGTGCACCGTTACAGGCTGACCCAGTTCTTTCTGGCTGCACTTGCATGCCAACTGAGAGCCCTGTGGAGTCAATCCCAGAGCAAAGCCCTCGGGAGTCAATCCCAACCAGCTCTACACAGTCCGCTCATGCGCCAGTCTCCGGTCATTGTCGATCGGTATTCCAGGTTTCTGGACTAACTAAGTTTCTGAGGTTGGTTGCGTGTATCTTGCGATAGCTGTCACGTCTAAGCCTTCTCTCTAACGACTCTATGACCCTGAACCCCCTTCGGGGATCGCCCTTGACTCATTCACTGCCAATGACGACTAAAGTTGTCATTTACATGTTTTTAATGTGTGGGCGTCGGACGAGCCCCCACACCGTGAGAACAAACATCTCAGCTGTAAAGCCGATCTTCATCCACATACGTCACACGTCATGTGATCAGGAAGCAGAAAATCCATGTATTAGGAGATCGTTTTGGGCCGCTGCTGTAAAAAAAGTGAGCCGCAAACCGGAAAAGCTTCTGCCGATCACAATTCAACAACAGATTATGAAAGAACAGGTAACACTCAAAACACACAGATTCTTCCTGATGTAAGAGGTGAGTCTCCACTTTCTTTTGGTTGTTTTGGCGTCAACATCATCCTAGCGTTTAACGTTCTGTGACTCTTACAAAAGCAGTAAAAATGGTGAGAAATGCTGGCAGCGAAGGGCTTTACCGATCAGGAAAGGGCTGGCAGAGAATGAGTTAATGAGCACCCAGGACTGTTGATGACTATCTAGTGTCTGGTCACCCAGAAGGTGTTTGCCAAATTTGACCCTGAAATGGCCTGTGCTCGGAAAATACTAAGTTCCTTCAAGCCTCTTTCTGACACTGGTACCAACTGGACTCGTACATTGATGTGGCCCTCTAGATGGGTGTGGTGGGGGTGGTAGTGGTGGTGGGGGGACTGTCATGATTAAACTTACCAATCACAATGCCTTTTAGGTGGAGCCTCTCAAAGGCCACCTTCCCATTTTGCCCTCGGCGAGGACATTAGTCATGGCTCCTTTGAAGACCCGCCACACCGTGTCCTTAACTGTGGACCCCCCTGCAAGGCCGAGTGTTGAACCCTAAAATTAGAAAAATTGATCTTCATTAATTTTTTAAACAAAGATTGATTTTCATTGAATTTTCAAATAAATATTATACAAACTTAGAGAAAAGCCTGGATAGCCATTGTGCTCCACTATTTATTTAATTGGCGTTTCGTGGTTGCCTGATGAAGGGCAGAGACCTGAAACGTGGGGGGGCGCAAATAATTGTGTGGAGCTCGTTGGGTTAGGGTTAGGGTTAGGAGTTGAAGAAAAGAAAGTCCCAGTCGCCGTAGGCTTTGTGAGGCTTTGTGCACAGACTCTCCTGCACTTAGTCCACCGGTGCAGATCTATCCCTCATTCAAACCTGTGGGAACAAGTGTGTCCAATCTGTAGATCCAGAGCCGTTCAGCTCTTTTCCGTTGTTTTGTGGACCAGTTTGGATCTGACTGTAGGATCGTGGCTGTGAGGGCTTGCCAGCCATGTTCAATAAAGTGTTTGACTACTGGTCGCTGTGTGTTATGGCTTTTTGTAATGTTGTGTCTGTGTTGTGTGAAGCGTGTTAAAATGCTATTTCCTGTTTCTCCCACATATCTCATTTTACAGATTTTGCACTGAATTAAATACACCCAGTTTTTGGTTTTAGGGTTACCTGCTTGTGTGATGGGATAAACGGTTTTGTTAAACCTGTTTTGTATCCAGCGCAGTTGGTTAAAAAAATCACTTTGACCTTTGACCTTAGGTTGTTGTAGGGGTCTCAGCTTGGCCTGAACCAGAAAATCTTTCAGGTTTTGGTTCCGTCTGTAGGCCGCAATTACCCTGTGATTTTGCAGTAAGTTAGTCTCTGATTGGAATTTAGAAAAGTTTTGTTTGATTTTATGAATTAGTTTTCCTGCCGAGGGAGAATAAGTGGTGACCAAAGGCAATAATGCTGATGTGTCCTTGGGTCTGGACTCCAGGAAGGAAGCTTTACATGTTTTCAGAAATGCTCTAGAATATCCTCTTAAGGATAGTGCTGAAAACAGTATCCGAGTGGCTTCCTTGAAGTCGCTTTCCTGAGTGCAGATTCTGTGGAAGCGAAGTAGCTGGGATTTAATAAGACCCGCATATGTGTGCTTTGGATGGTAACTGGTTTTAAAAAGCAATGCGTGTGTGTCCGTAGGTTTAAAATAAACCTTTATGTCAAGTTTGTGTGTGGAGCTGAAATTTGGGCCTTTAAAGGTTGTGGTGTCTAAAAAATCGACTGATTTAGCATTGGTGGACGATTTCAGCTTTATGGATGGGTTATGTGTGTTTAGCGTGTTTAGAAATAGTTGAAAGTCTTCCTCCGAGTGAGTCCAGACCCCCCAGATGTCATCTAGATATCTGTAATAATAAAGTGGTTTCTTTACACATTTGTTTAATGCCTCCGTCTCCCATTGCGCCATGAAGATATTTGCATACGCTGGAGCAAACTTCTTCCCCATCGCTGTTCCTTAATTTGCAGATAGAATTGGCCATCAAATTCAAAATCATTCCTTCTCAGATTAATTTGTAATAGCTGGAGTAGCTCCTTGTCTGGCCTTCTGCTGTTGGGGTGTTTAAGGAGAATTTGTTTGACTGCATTAATGCCTTCGGTTATGTCAATGTTTGTATATAAGCTGTCTATATCCATGGTGAACAGAATGGAGTTGTCTGGCAGGATGATTTGTTTGATCTTGTTTATAAAGTCATACGTGTCCTTGATGTAACTGTCGTGTGTTATTGATAGGGGATTTAAATAGTGATCGATGAATTCTGCTGTTTGATATGTTTCACTGTTGCAGTCAGACACGATGGGTCTACCCGGTGGGATCTCATGGGGTTTACTCCATTTTGCTGGTTCCTTGTGGATCTTCGGTAACAGATAGAACCTTCTGGCTCTTGGTTCCGAAGAGCCTTTAAGATATCTGCGCTGTTTTGCATTAATAAACCTTTTCTCATACAAAGAGTCAATGATTTTAGTCACCATGGGGATGGTCTCTGGATAAATGGGTTTGTCTAGTTTATTGTAATAGGTGGTGTCCAGCAGTTGTCTTTTACCTTCCCAGAGATATTGTGCCCTGTCCATGATGACAATAGAGCTCCCCTTATCAGCCGGCTTGATAATAATGTTCTTGTTGCCTGTTAATTCCTTGAGTGCTTTGGTTTCGTTAATACTCAAGTTAGGTTTGGACTTGTTCATGTAAAATGTTTTGTTGAAATAACCAAGATCCTCCTCAATAAGTGAGTTAACTTCTGGCGGCAGAGTGCCAGCAGGGGGCGCCCATTCTGATTCTGGCATGAAAGGTTTTGGTTTACCTGTTTTAGCTGTACCATCTTCCTTAAAATGAACAGCTAATTTGATTCTCCTATGGTATTTTTGTAAATCATGTCTGATCTGCAGCATTGTGTCATTGTTTTTAGCTTTGCTGTGAGAGGGGATGAAGGTTAAACCCCTGTTTAACAAAGAACGCTGTGCGTCAGACAGTACAAAAGATCTGGACAAATTACAAACATTGTTATTAACAATGCTTCTATGCCCTTCCTGTCCTGGTAGGCTATCAGGGCTGCCTATTTTAACCAGGCAGACCAGAGGTCCCACATCCTGGCAGCCGTGAATCTGGTCCAATGGACCTTGTCTGGTTTAACCCTGAAAAAGGCAGCGTCCTGGGCAGGGATGAACCTGTTGAGCTGAGAAATGTGAATATTGAGATGTGTGAGCATGGCTTGCTCCCTGTGTGATAAGGAGGGAGAAAAGTTCACCACAGGAACAAAGATCTCAGCATTAGGACATTTAAGTTTGGCTACTTTAAGGGCAGTTTGCATTTCCTTAACCAAAGCCCTTTTGTCCTTCTGTGTTCTGTTGTTGATACCAAATGAGAGGACCAGTCTCTCTACCTGCTCCATTTGCCCAGATTTGAGGAACAGGCTGGTCACATGTCTCCACTTGGCTCCCGGAAAACTGTCCACCTGGATGTTGTTGCTACAGTCCCCTGTCACAGGTAGGTGTGCAACATTCGAGTCCCCCAGAACCACATATTTTTTTCTCAGGTTAAGTGACCAGTCTCGTGATTTTTTACCAGTGTTTGTGTGTCTGGTTGTGGCATTTACCTGAGATGAAGGTGATTCATCAGGCCCGGTGGGGGTGGTGGCGGTGGCTGCGGTGAGCGGTGGGTGAGTCGTTTGCTGGAAGGAAAGTTGCCTCTGTGTGCTCTTTTCCATCCGGCGACGGAGGGCGACAGGCGTAGGTTCCAGCAGTGGTGGAGCAGAAGCAGCAGGTAGTGGGTGTGAGCGCATCATTGCTTCATAAGCAAGGAATTCGTCTATGATGGTCTGTTCCTCTGCTGTCACGCCGCGGGGTCGAGGCGGAGACTCCATCACGACTGAAGGGGAGGATCCTGTTGTCCTCTGCGTGTACGTTTCCTCCTGGCTGGATGATTTCCGCTGCCTTTGGGGAAGAGCCGGCGTCTGTGGAGTGCTGCGTGCCTGGGGTGATGGTGTGGGTGGTGCTGCTACAGCTGGAAAGAGGGGACGGCTGCTGTGTCGTTCCTCGTTGGATGCTGCAGGTGACCAGTCCCCTCTGGATGGTTCCGTCATCGTTGCCACTGTTGTCCTGTGGGGTGGTGGTGGTGGTGGTGAAGGTGGGGGGGCCGGAAGAGGAGATTGTGATCTCACGGAGCCCCTGGGAGCGTAGGGAGAGGATGCATAAACGGAAAGTTCATCCTCACTCTGCCCCCTGTGTTGTTGGGAGTGCGGAGGGGGCGTGGTCTGCGTGGAGGACTCAAGAACAGATGTACGTTCATCAGGTTCACCATTTTCCGATGAGGGAGTTGCTGGTTCTTGTGAGTCCTTTTTCTCATCCGACATCAGGAAGACCTGCACCTCTTCCACCGATTCTGGTCTGAAACGTCTCCCCAAGTTCCTTCTGGCCCATTTAGTGACTATTTCTAATGGAGCCAGTAGGTTTCCCCCAAGATCTTGCAAAGTGCGTTTTTCTGACTCCATCTGATCTTGGTAGTGTTGTCTAAGGATCAGCATGGTGGTGTAGGCCCACGACCTCGCATTACCATCTATTAATGTGGAAGTTCTAGTGGATGGGGCCGCAGGTTGAATAATCGTGGCCAAGTACGCAGTTATATTTTGGATACCAGGTGGATTATTGTCCTTGTCCGACATTTTCAAATGATGTGCCGCTTTAAGAAGTCTGTGCATGGTTCTGACCTTTATTGTGAAGTCTGGGTCATCAGATCTTTGTGGCGCCTCTGACCGGTTTCGGGTCTGTGCGCCCTGCTGCGCGTACTGTCCCTGTGGGGGTCGCCGAGCGCGTTTCTTTTGTCGGTTCCAACCCTGGGGCCCTTGGTTCTGGTACCGCTTATTGAAGCCCCTACTGCGGCTCCTGGAGGGTTGGAATGGACGCTGGGGGTAAGAGGGACCGTACCTGGCGGCTGACGCGTAAGACTTGCGTCTCTGGGGGTACCGCTGGGGGTACTGCGACTGCCAGCTGCAGTCCTGTTGATAGCGAGGCCGTCGTTGCTGGGGAGAGTGGCGTCGTTGGAAACGTCCTCTATTCTGCTGGTTCCGCTGAACGTCCCGTCGTCTTCCCCCTCGGTAGCGAACCTGTGTCCAGCCCGACTCCTCCTCCATCTCATCCGGTGGGAAATAGTCCCACGTCATTCCGGAGATGTCCGGTAGTTAAAAAACAGGTGCTAAACTAACTAACTGTGTAGCTAACTATCTAAAAAAACAAGTGGAATTAAATGAAAGAACCGAAAAACTGCGGCTTAAATTGTTGGCAACTGGCCATTTATTGAACAAACGTGAAAAAGTTAACTGGAACAAAGAAACAAAATATTTACAAAAAACAAGCTCAACGCTACGTTTCGACTCCTCAATGAGTCTTCATCAGGCTAAGAGCTTGTAAAAGCGCATAGAACCTTCTCTTGTCGTTGAAGCTCGGTCCAGAATGGTTGTCCCGTTCTGTTTCTGACCGGTTTCATCTAGCGCATACCAGTTAACAAGCATCAATTGGCTCTATTAGCACCTGTACTTGTGTCCAATCAAATTGGACCAATCCAGAGCGCCGCGGGAGTGGTAGGACCATATTTAGAGTTCCGGTCCATACTCCCCCTAGTGTCCAAGAGAGCGCCTGGCACTTTTCACTAACAAGATTACATTTACAACATGTTATTACCATAAAAAATAGACAAATACAGACACAACGTACATAACACTTTGCATTCATGTGTTATATGAAAACAAACCTTCTGTGGGGCATGATTTAAAAGAAATTCAAATTCCAAGACATGAGATTCCCCACACTGGCTTTACTCTATCTGACTGACTCCTTTCCCTGCTACATTTCTGATACACTCTTGCCCTCTAGTGGGCAAAACTGTGAACTACATGAGTCATCTGTAGCTGATTAGAAAATTAAGTTTAGGTGTGTCCTTTTAATCTGAACAATCCAACATCTGTGTGGGACTTGAGACCTGTCAACCAGGGGTGAAGGTTTGCTGGCTGGAAGAGGCAATTGATGGTAAGACTCAAAGGAATTTGTGTCAAATATTCCGGTTTTTAGTGTCCAATATTGGTTAAGGTTAGGACAATCTACTCCACTGTTTAGGGTTGGAATAGGGATTGGGGTTAGGTTAAATAATCCAATTTACTCCAAGTTTAGGGTTAGAACAGGGGTTGGGGTTAGGTTAATTAATCTAATCTACTCCACTATTTTAGGGTTAGAATAAGGATGGGGTTAGGATTAGATTAAAGAATCAATTTGTATTCTGAGTCTTACAAATACTGCCCTCCTCCATGTCCAGCAGACTCCCCCTGTTGGCAGAACTGGATGGGTGAGTGACCAACAGATAAAGTCAGGGAAGAGGTAAGTAATGTACAGAAGAACACTTGTTTCATTTCTACTCATTTTTTCATTTTCCAAAGAACTGTTGTGGAAATATTGCATCAGAGTATTAAATGGGAGGGCAGTGCCCCTCCAGAGGTCATCAGGAGGAACAAATCTGCAGCAGACAGGTTGCTGGAGGCCACTGGCCGGTTAGGAGTTGAAGAAAAGAAGTGCACAGACTCTCCTGCACTTAGTCCACCGGTGCAGATCTATCCCTCATTCAAACCTGTGGGAACAAGTGTGTCCAATCTGTAGATCCAGAGCCGTTCAGCTCTTTTCTGTTGTTTTGTGGACCAGTTTGGATCTGACTGTAGGATCGTGGCTGTGAGGGCTTGCCAGCCATGTTCAATAAAGTGTTTGACTACTGGTCGCTGTGTGTTATGGCTTTTTGTAATGTTGTGTCTGTGTTGTGTGAAGCGTGTTAAAATGCTATTTCCTGTTTCTCCCACATATCTCATTTTACAGATTTTGCACTGAATTAAATACACAGTTTTTGGTTTTAGGGTTACCTGCTTGTGTGATGGGATAAACGGTTTTGTTAAACCTGTTTTGTATCCAGCGCAGTTGGTTAAAAAAATCACTTTGACCTTTGACCTTAGGTTGTTGTAGGGGTCTCAGCTTGGCCTGAACCAGAAAATCTTTCAGGTTTTGGTTCCGTCTGTAGGCCGCAATTACCCTGTGATTTTGCAGTAAGTTAGTCTCTGATTGGAATTTAGAAAAGTTTTGTTTGATTTTATGAATTAGTTTTCCTGCCGAGGGAGAATAAGTGGTGACCAAAGGCAATAATGCTGATGTGTCCTTGGGTCTGGACTCCAGGAAGGAAGCTTTACATGTTTTCAGAAATGCTCTAGAATATCCTCTTAAGGATAGTGCTGAAAACAGTATCCGAGTGGCTTCCTTGAAGTCGCTTTCCTGAGTGCAGATTCTGTGGAAGCGAAGTAGCTGGGATTTAATAAGACCCGCATATGTGTGCTTTGGATGGTAACTGGTTTTAAAAAGCAATGCATGTGTGTCCGTAGGTTTAAAATAAACCTTTATGTCAAGTTTGTGTGTGGAGCTGAAATTTGGGCCTTTAAAGGTTGTGGTGTCTAAAAAATCGACTGATTTAGCATTGGTGGACGATTTCAGCTTTATGGATGGGTTATGTGTGTTTAGCGTGTTTAGAAATAGTTGAAAGTCTTCCTCCGAGTGAGTCCAGACCCCCCAGATGTCATCTAGATATCTGTAATAATAAAGTGGTTTCTTTACACATTTGTTTAATGCCTCCGTCTCCCATTGCGCCATGAAGATATTTGCATACGCTGGAGCAAACTTCTTCCCCATCGCTGTTCCCTTAATTTGCAGGTAGAATTGGCCATCAAATTCAAAATCATTCCTTCTCAGATTAATTTGTAATAGCTGGAGTAGCTCCTTGTCTGGCCTTCTGCTGTTGGGGTGTTTAAGGAGAATTTGTTTGACTGCATTAATGCCTTCGGTTATGTCAATATTTGTATATAAGCTGTCTATATCCATGGTGAACAGAATGGAGTTGTCTGGCAGGATGATTTGTTTGATCTTGTTTATAAAGTCATACGTGTCCTTGATGTAACTGTCGTGTGTTATTGATAGGGGATTTAAATAGTGATCGATGAATTCTGCTGTTTGATATGTTTCACTGTTGCAGTCAGACACGATGGGTCTACCCGGTGGGATCTCATGGGGTTTACTCCATTTTGCTGGTTCCTTGTGGATCTTCGGTAACAGATAGAACCTTCTGGCTCTTGGTTCCGACGAGCCTTTAAGATATCTGCGCTGTTTTGCATTAATAAACCTTTTCTCATACAAAGAGTCAATGATTTTAGTCACCATGGGGATGGTCTCTGGATAAATGGGTTTGTCTAGTTTATTGTAATAGGTGGTGTCCAGCAGTTGTCTTTTACCTTCCCAGAGATATTGTGCCCTGTCCATGATGACAATAGAGCTCCCCTTATCAGCCGGCTTGATAATAATGTTCTTGTTGCCTGTTAGTTCCTTGAGTGCTTTGGTTTCGTTAATACTCAAGTTAGGTTTGGACTTGTTCATGTAAAATGTTTTGTTGAAATAACCAAGATCCTCCTCAATAAGTGAGTTAACTTCTGGCGGCAAAGTGCCAGCAGGGGGCGCCCATTCTGATTCTGGCATGAAAGGTTTTGGTTTACCTGTTTTAGCTGTACCATCTTCCTTAAAATGAACAGCTAATTTGATTCTCCTATGGTATTTTTGTAAGTCGTGTCTGATCTGCAGCATTGTGTCATTGTTTTTAGCTTTGCTGTGAGAGGGGATGAAGGTTAAACCCCTGTTTAACAAAGAACGCTGTGCGTCAGACAGTACAAAAGATCTGGACAAATTACAAACATTGTTATTAACAATGCTTCTATGCCCTTCCTGTCCTGGTAGGCTATCAGGGCTGCCTATTTTAACCAGGCAGACCAGAGGTCCCACATCCTGGCAGCCGTGAATCTGGTCCAATGGACCTTGTCTGGTTTAACCCTGAAAAAGGCAGCGTCCTGGGCAGGGATGAACCTGTTGAGCTGAGAGATGTGAATATTGAGATGTGTGAGCATGGCTTGCTCCCTGTGTGATAAGGAGGGAGAAAAGTTCACCACAGGAACAAAGATCTCAGCATTAGGACATTTAAGTTTGGCTACTTTAAGGGCAGTTTGCATTTCCTTAACCAAAGCCCTTTTGTCCTTCTGTGTTCTGTTGTTGATACCAAATGAGAGGACCAGTCTCTCTACCTGCTCCATTTGCCCAGATTTGAGGAACAGGCTGGTCACATGTCTCCACTTGGCTCCCGGAAAACTGTCCACCTGGATGTTGTTGCTACAGTCCCCTGTCACAGGTAGGTGTGCAACATTCGAGTCCCCCAGAACCACATATTTTTTTCTCAGGTTAAGTGACCAGTCTCGTGATTTTTTACCAGTGTTTGTGTGTCTGGTTGTGGCATTTACCTGAGATGAAGGTGATTCATCAGGCCCGGTGGGGGTGGTGGCGGTGGCTGCGGTGAGCGGTGGGTGAGTCGTTTGCTGGAAGGAAAGTTGCCTCTGTGTGCTCTTTTCCATCCGGCGACGGAGGGCGACAGGCGTAGGTTCCAGCAGTGGTGGAGCAGAAGCAGCAGGTAGTGGGTGTGAGCGCATCATTGCTTCATAAGCAAGGAATTCGTCTATGATGGTCTGTTCCTCTGCTGTCACGCCGCGGGGTTGAGGCGGAGACTCCATCACGACTGAAGGGGAGGATCCTGTTGTCCTCTGCATGTACGTTTCCTCCTGGCTGGATGATTTCCGCTGCCTTTGGGGAAGAGCCGGCGTCTGTGGAGTGCTGCGTGCCTGGGGTGATGGTGTGGGTGGTGCCGCTACAGCTGGAAAGAGGGGACGGCTGCTGTGTCGTTCCTCGTTGGATGCTGCAGGTGACCAGTCCCCTCTGGATGGTTCCGTCATCGTTGCCACTGTTGTCCTGTGGGGTGGTGGTGGTGGTGGTGAAGGTGGGGGGGCCGGAAGAGGAGATTGTGATCTCACGGAGCCCCTGGGAGCGTAGGGAGAGGATGCATAAACGGAAAGTTCATCCTCACTCTGCCCCCTGTGTTGTTGGGAGTGCGGAGGGGGCGTGGTCTGCGTGGAGGACTCAAGAACAGATGTACGTTCATCAGGTTCACCATTTTCCGATGAGGGAGTTGCTGGTTCTTGTGAGTCCTTTTTCTCATCCGACATCAGGAAGACCTGCACCTCTTCCACCGATTCTGGTCTGAAACGTCTCC